TTTTTTTTTTTTTTTTTTTTTTTTTTTTTGACATAGCGGCCGTCTGCCGCCTATCGTCTTTATTCCTTTCGTTCCTGTACGCTGGTATCCGAAGGTTCCCTTGGGAGTTTCCTTCTAAAGTCGTTTCTCCAACATCGTGCCATTGTCGCGCGACGGGATGGCTTCTTGTACTGTGGGGTTCTATGTGCCGCTTCCTCTCGGCGTGTTTTCCCTCTGCTTGTGACGGCCAATTCCTTCTGGGGTTCACGAATTACCCGCGGCAAATCCTTCAGTTTCTGGCGGCGGCGCTCCGTGGCCAGTTTCCGGTCCCTACGCCTCTCCTTCGGTTCTCCGACCGGTATTCTCGGGGCATCTTCTGCGGGGACTTCTTGATGTTCTGCCGCCTCCATTCCCCGGATGGCAGTCATCTCTTTTTCCGTCTCGGGCACTATCTTCTTGTGGGAAGTTCTCCTCTCTTCCCCCCAGGCCTTCCAGTCGGCCATCATCTCTTCGTGCCTGGCGTCCGCTTTCGCCTGTTCGATTTTCGCTTCTTCGTATCTGGCATCGGCCTTTGCCTGCATGGCTAGCAGGAGTTCCATTATCTGGAGTGAGTCCATTCTTTTCTTGTGTAGGACGCGTGTTAAAGTTCGAAGTCAATTCTGACGCCAATGTAGCGTGTCTTGGGTTCGAACCCTGTCGGTCACGTGTATAAGTCTTATCCCACTTCTGATACCAATGTAGCGTGTTAGGCGTGTCACGCTACAAATAAGTTCATGCCGTTATTTGGTATAGCGAATTCATCCCGTTCGCTCACCTTACACACACTTTACAATCATTACCACTTGCAGTGTTACAAACACTGCTTACAATAACTTGGCCGATACTGGACTCTCTTCTCTGGCGGTTATTCTAGGACTCTACTCCGAAGGCTTGATAACGGCTGACTTCTTGGATGGCTCAATGATGATACAGTGATGTACACTGGGAAAACATGCTATAGGGTGGACCCTTGATGTCATAGATGGGCTTATTCTCTTGAAACTTGCCCCCTCTTTTATAGACATAGTGACAATAGGTTTGGGGGCTGCATCTCCACATCCCCATATTGCCATTACAATGTCCCAGAATAGTTGTCCATCACCACCTTTTGAAGAAATGTGAGTTGCGATCACTGCGGCTTTTTGTATGCATTGCTCAATTGGGTTCAGATGTGAAGGTGAATGCGGATTCAGTCTTCTTCTTTGGAGCAACTTTCCTTGGGTTAATTCCATCATAAAAGTTATGGTAGTTTGTACATTCTGTAGAACAGCTTCCTCTTGGGCCTAGCATCTTCACAACCAAAGAAGCAGCACTAGAGGTAGCTTGTCTAGCCAGACATGTGTTGTAGTCTGGTAAGGTGTGATTTGTTACGTTCACTTCATTGATGTCATAGGATCTATTCCTGAGGTTCTCTGCCTTGTCAAACGCTGTAGATCTTGATGGAATATCAAAGTTAGTGGCTGGTTCAAGATATACAAGGTGGTTAATAGCTGCTCTACCACCCTTCCTTATGATCCTTGACAACTTTTCCCTAACTCTGAAGGGAAAGAGTTGGGAAATGAGTTCATTTTTGTAGGCTCTGTCTATAATTGCTGATATGCAGACTTCAGGCAAGCATTGTCCTAGTAACTCCAATATGTTTGCATCTATTCTGACATTTGAGAGCAGCCCTTTTATAGCATCCTTAACTGGTTTTGTTGTGTTTGCTTCCAGTGCTTGCTTGAATATCTGACTCTCACACTTCGAAATCATGCCTTCCTTTAATTTGCTAAAGACTGATCCAGAAGGGTTGGTTACACCTTTCATATAGACACCTCTAGGGTTTGACAAGAGCAAGGTCACATCTACTTCATCCAATTCTTGGTTCATTGTAGATTCAAACATGGATGCTATTTTGTCGTTTACAAGAGAATCTCTTGCAACTTCGTAAAAAGTTGACGTTGTTGTATATGCAAGTAAGTCATCTGGTGTCTCCTGTGTCAGCCAACCACATATATGGGGTATTCCCCATCCTCCCATTCCTCTGGGAGCAAACAAAGCATTTATTAACTTGATAACACACTCATGTTCTAATGTCCTAGACGTTTGACTTGCCAAATCAATACATCTTGATATTGCTGTTATATAGCAAGCTACTGGGCATGCACCTTTCTCTGAAGCAGAACGGAATGATCCCAAGATAGTGTCAAATTGAGCAAAGATTGTTGCATACCTCCTCTTCATTTTTATCAGCTCTTGTGAATATCTTCATAGGGGTCACAACTTCTGATCCTTCACAAAAGAACCTGTTTAGGTATATGAATTTTGATGAGGAATATATAGTTTTGACTACATCCAACTCTGCCCCAAGATCAACCCAAACTCTCCTGGTGGTTTCAAAGTGACAATTTGCAGCATTTTGTGCACGATCTAAAGTTGATCCAGCAGTAATTTCTACTGCTTGAACAGCATCATCTATGAGACCTGCTGTGGTGGCTGCTTCTCCTTTGAAAAGGTAACCTTCTCTTTTTGCCTTGCATACACAGAAGAGAGATATCCTAACATTCATGAGTGAATTCAAGGTGGCTGTCCAACCTTGGAACAAACCTTTATTTAAGTCGTGTCTTGCAACTAGGCCTCTCTTGGACATGCAGGCCTTCATTCTCTTCCATATTCCATATTTTAACCATTTTGGTGCTTTTGTTGTATGAACTGTGTAGTCATGGTGTCTTGCCCACATTTTCCTATCACCATGAGGTGACCATCCTGATATGTCATCTGATATGACCAAAGGTATATCCTAGGATTTTCAGGATCGGTGACTTCGCAAACTCTATTGAATAACGCATTTATCTCAAGATCAGATTTTCTTGCAGTCACACCTTTGTAGTATGAGGACAAAGGTATACCCGACGGTCATACATTGTTGTTAACTCTCTTGTAATGTCATCAGCCGACCAAGTTTCTCTGACCTTTTCTTTGGGTTTAGTGTTCTCACTTTTGGCAGCCATAACTGCCATGCGATCCCAATTATCTGAGCCATTTTCCAATGCATTCAAAATGTCTGAGGTTTTCCATTTAAGGAGAGTAATGGGGCATATTTGAGAGCATAAAGTAGTTCATTATGTTGTACTCTTTCAATTGCTCGGGATGACAAGATGCTTTCATAATCACTTATATTGGATGTGACATGAGTAACGTCTGCTGCTTCGAAAAACCATGTATGTATACATTCATTGTATTCAAAATGATTCTCCAACCATATCTTACCCATTTCTTCATCAGGGGGAAGAAGCATGTTTCCCCTAGTACATTCTATAAACCATTTCTCTGAGGTTGGGTTGTATCCTTCTTCGCAATTATGTCCTATATTGTCCGAGTCCTTGATTCTGGACAATACCTTGCAGAAATGCAATGCTTTGCAGTAGTTTAGGAAATCCTTGAATGTTTCTCTGTTAGCATCTTTGGCTTTTGCCATATATTCAGTTGCTCTCTTTACTAAAAGTTCAAGGTCGCAATCAGGAGCTGGCAGACCATAGTAAAGGTGTGCAATATCCAATTTAGCTCTGTCTATTATATCTAAGCTAGATATGAATTCATGCCAGTATTCTTCAAGGGGCAAAATCTCTTTAATGTTCTTTGCTAGTTGCTCAGCTCTGTGTTCCAAACCCATTTCAAGCTTTTCAGCTTTTGGATGGAAACCATTTTGCAAGTATGCCAAACTTTGTTTCATACTTCAAGCTAGAAATTCACTAAAGTTTGAACTGTCCATTGCCTTGACTATCCACTTCATTCCTTTGTCCAAGGCTTCTACCATGTTTGATTTTTCAGAGTCAAGGGTTCCTGATATTCTGTAGTTCACACAATATCCATAGCATCCCTCCCAGAATTTAGAAAAAGCATGTACCTGATCCAATGCTGAGTAGTCAAGTACAAATATGAAATGACCCAATATTCTATACAAATGTGAGGCACCACACATCTTACCTCCTCTGGTTTTCACAAAATCAAAATCTTGGTATCTAACATCAGAAGGGCGGTTTCTCAAGGAATCATTTGCCTCTCTTAATTCAGGAGTAACA